AATTATAGAAATTATATTAATCTTCTTAAATAAAATAAATGTAATTACCAAAGATTTTTATTCATGGCAATACTTTCAAATATACAAAATGCCTAAAAATAGAATTATTCTTCAAGAAAATTAGATAAAAATAGCAATTTAAAAATTATATATATATAGATAATATAGCTCCCAACATTCATTATTTCTTTATGATTCAAACCCCAATATTTCTTTATTTTATTTGTTCAAATGTTTTGGTAAATAATTAAAATTATGCAAATAGGAAGAAAATAAATAAATAATAGAAAAGAATCAGCTCACAAAACATAAAAGATTTGTAATTAACTCGGTGATACTATCATATATCATATATTGGTATCGAAATATCATAACGTCAATATAAAAAATTAATGTCTAATTTTACGACCACCTTTTGGAGTGTGGAATATCAGGGGTTTCAACAACCCTGATAAAGTAAACGGTGTTAAAAAACTTGTTAAGGACCATCACCTGGGGATGGTATGTCTCTTAGAAAACAGAATTTCTCATCATAATCTTAATGACCCGTGGTTCACCCATGGGCATGAAATCTTCAACTATGAAAATAGCTGTAACAACTTTAATCTTGCCTCTCCTGGCAGAATCTGGATCAAATGGAATCCAGATTGCGTCAATTTTGAGCCTTTCTTCTTTTCCAAACAAATGATCTCTGGCAAATTATCTGGCTACTCTCACGACACTGTCATTCTATCCATTGTTTATGTTTCTAATTCTCAGGATGAGAGAATCTCCTTATGGGAGGAGGTGAGAAGGATTAATCCTTCTAATAATCTTCCATGGATTGTTGCGGGAGATTTTAACTGTTGTCGCTTTGTTACTGAAAAGGCTGGGGGAAATCCTCTTACGGCTGACAGAATGGGTCATTTTAACTCTATGATCTTTGACACGGCTCTCACTGACCTTACCTTCATGGGTATTTTCTTCACCTGGAACAACCAAAGAAGTGATAATCCAATTAGCATTAAGCTCGATAAAGCCCTGGTTAATGAAAAATGGATTGCTACTTTTCCTAGCTCTTACTATAAGGTGCTGAGTGCTTCTATCTCTGACCATTCACCTCTTATCATTTATCCTGGAGAGCATATTAAGAAAATCCATAGATTTTTGTTCAAAAATCATTGGACCAGGTATAAAAATTTCTGGGAAGTCCTGATAGATGTGTTTGCTACCCGCTATGAGGGGAACCCCATTAGCCAGTTCTATACTAAGCTCAGATTTCTTAAAAATCACATTAAGAAAGCAAACTGGAATTCTTCTAACTCTATCAGTAGTTCGATTGATTCACTTACTCAGCAGCAACTGGACTGTCAAGCAATCCTTGATATTGATCCTCTCAATTAATCCGGAGCTTAGGAATAATCTTAAGATCATAAACTCTAAGCTCACGTTTTACAATTCTATTTGGACCTCTTGGGTTAAACAAAGATCTAAAGTCAAATGGCTCAAAAATGGGGAAGAGGATTTAAAATTTCTCTATTCTAGGATCCATAGAAGGAAAGCAGCAAGCACTAGCTCTTTTGAGAATGCTCTTTTTGGGCATTCAGGTGATCGTAATAGCAAAATTCATGAGATTATTGATCATTTCAAGGTATTACTAAATCATAATAATAAAGCTTCTGCGGATGTCAGCAACTTTCCTATTGGGACTTGTATTCCGATTCATCTTACTGAAGCTCTGATCAAACCTGTTACCTTAGAGGAAGTTAAAAATGTTGTCTTTGCTGGGCATTCGGATTCTGCGCCTGGGCCTGATGGCTTTAATTTTGATTTCTATAAAAAGTGTTGGCACATCATTGGCAATGATGTTTTCAGAGCTGTGCAATCATTCTTCGTGAAAAATTATTTACCTGTTGGTGTCAAGGCTACGGCTCTGGTCTTGATTCCTAAAAACAAACATGCTTGTAGTATTGATGATTTTAGGCCTATTGCCTTGTGTAACGTATTTTATAAAATCATAGCTAAGATTCTTGCAGATAGATTGAAATTGGTTATGCCTTTTATCATTCATAACAGCCAAGCTGCCTTTATATCTGATAGATTGGCTACTGATAATACCATTTTAGCTGATGAAATTATGAAGATGTTTAATAATACTAGAAGGGATTACTTTTGTGCTAAATTTGATATCAAGAAGGCTTTCGACACTGTCTCTAGAGATTTTCTTATTTCTAGAATGACACAGAAAGGCTTTCCTAGGGAGTTTACTAACTGGATAAAGACTTGTATCACAAATGTAAATTTTTCCATCTGCTTGAATGGATCGCTGGAAGGTTTTTTCTCTTCTTCTACTGGTTTAAGGCAGGGTTGTCCTCTCAGCCCCTATCTGTTCTGTATCGTAATGGATAGCCTGTCTTGTTTGATTGATGAACATGCTAACATGAGAAATTTCAGGGGTATTTCAGTGGGAGACTTTAAAATTTTGCATCTTTTATACGCTGATGACTTAATTGTCTTTGGAGAAGCTAATAACACTAACTGCTCTATTCTTACTTATTGCTTGGCTTATATTTCTGCTTGCTCTGGTCTGTATACGAATAGCCAAAAAAGCTATGTCTCCTTTTCTCAGCATACGACCAACATATTAGATTTGGCTTGCATTTTGAATATCCCCAACATTACTAATAAGTTTAACTATCTTGGGATCCCCATCTCTACGGGGAAGATCAAAGCCTCTGATTTCAATCCTCTTCTGGAAAAAATAACTTTTCTTCTTTCTGGATGGAAAGCTAGCTCTCTATCAATTGCGGGAAGAATGCAGTATATCAAGTATACTATTTCTAATACAGTTGCGTATTGGGTTAGAGCAATTTTTGTTCCTAATCATATTATTAAAAGCATTAATAAAGCTTGTGCCAGATTTCTTTATTTTGGAAGCCAAACAGGGAAAAGTATGCATCTTATTTCATGGGATAATACTTGTAAACCTTATAGAAATGGCGGGCTTAGTATTACATCTTTAGAAGCTATGAGGTATGCTTATAATTGCTCTACCATTAGTAGAATGTATAATGTTGCAAACCCTTTATCGAAATATCTGTTAGCTCGTTATAATTCTCCTTGGAAAAGTAACACTAAGCAGAAGACTAGATTTTGGAAAGGCATATGTAAGTCGGCTGAGAGGGCTAAAACCTTTTTCTTGTTCTCTCCTCACCAATCTAGCAAGGCTTCGATCAAGTGGGATCACTGGTGCATGGGAGAAAGTTTGATTTGCAAATTCCCTGAGCTCTCCCCTCTTAATTTTTGCAAGGACGGTGAAACCATTGATAACTGGATTATTAATGATAAATGGTGTATTCCAGATTCTCTAAGGGAGGAGATCAGGAATTTTATTAGTAAAATTCCTTTGGGCTTGAATAATGATCTTAGTATTACCTGGAAAGGAAATATTAAGCACTCGTATAAGGATTACTACTTGAATTTTTTTGAAAACCAAGAAGTTGTTGACTGGTCACAACTGGTGTGGCATAAAAGGCACTCTCCCAGATATTCTATTTTCACATGGATGGCTATTCTTGATAAGCTTAAATCGGCTGAGGCTCTTGCCTGGAGAGGCATTTGTATTGAAAACCCAAAATGCCATTTCTGCCAGGAAAAGCATGAATCCACTAGGCACTTATTTTTTGAATGTGATTATTCATACAACACTCTTATCAGGCTTATTCCTGCTCTTCAGAATTTTTTGCTAAGGCCTAATGTGTCTCAGGCTTTGGATTTTATTGGGGGGCTGCCGGGTGAAAACAGGAAAAGGCCTCTCAATCTCTTATTATTCAATGCCATTCTCTACCATTTGTGGAGGGAAAGAAATAACCGTAGATTTAAAGCCACTGCAAAGTGTTCTATCACTTTGGCAGTTGAAATTGCAAAAGAAGTGAGATTAAAGATGTCTAACTAGAAGTATAAGGAAAACTCCATGTTTCCTGTTGGAACGCGAATGTGATGGAATCTGGTAGGCCTTATTTGGCCTAATTGTTGTGGTTAGCCTGACTTTAGCCTCTCTTGAATGGCCTTTTTGGGCAACCAGAGTTAAGGCTAGCTGTTTTATATCAATTTTCTTTTATCTTAGAATCTGATGGGTTCATATTTGTTCAGCATAAGCTCTTCTACTCACTGTAGCTGCTGTGGTTGCAGGTTTTGGAGATTCTGGGATGCTTGGGAGCGCAAAGAATGGAAGTTATCCGGGTCTCTTTGTCATAAATGAGAAATGATCTGCTCCGTTACCTAAGATATTCAGGGACACAGCTGCAGTCGCTGGAATGTGTTCTGCTCCTCCTTGAACGTTCTCCGAATTCCCTGGAGGATCGTGGAGTCGGATTTCCTTTTGTTTTTTCTGCCTTGAGCAGAATGCTGTCTGTCATTCTTTCTAGTTTCCTCATTCTAGTTTGTGTTTCAGAATGTGGGTCGTTTTTTCATTCCAAAGTACTTTTGTTTTTGTATTTTTGAACATCTGTTCTCATTTTTGTGTCACCTTTGTTCAATAAAAGGGCTATGCCCAAATTTTCCCCAAAAAAAAAAAACATATTATATATTTATTTTATTTTTAATGTCATGTGAAATGACGCTTGCCACATAAAATTTGACCACATAAAATTCAAGTATATTTGGTTTGAATGGGAGATTTTAACCAACCGCTAATCATTAAAGCATATTAAAAGAATTACCCTTTTTATGATACCCCATATTTTCATATTTTATAAAATTCATTATACTTCGTTATCTATATATAAATACTCCCTCATTTCCCAGTATTAACTTCTATATTCTGCACTCTATCTAAAATTTCTTAAGCTAAGTCAAAAATATAGAAGTGTGTTCAAGAAAAGAAGCTTTAATGAAAATATGGTTTAGTAATCTAACCTTATGAGATCTCCAAATTTATGACTAAAGGAAAATCAAACTTTACAAGAAAATTTTTTTGGTGACTTTCCGGCAGACTATTTTTCGGTGATTGTTTTACAGTTTACGATGAAATATACCTGACTTTTTTTTTTGCATATTTCCCAATAACTCTCTGGCGGCTTTTCCTTATTATATTTTAAATAAAAAATGTGACTATTTTAACCCTTATTTTTTGACTTAGGAGTGGGAAGATGATTTAGGCTATTTAGAGATTTCATGAACCTTTGAATTGACTCTTTATGAATCATAAACTCCATATAATTCCATATCTCGATCTCATTCTTCGCCTTAAAAGTTTATCTATAGAAGGATATCACATCTAATATATCCTACACCACCCTAATCTTCAAAAAGTTATTGACTATGTCAAATTACATCCCTCATCTATTAGCTTAATAATCTTAGCTTGAGCAAATTTGTTTTTCTTTTAGTTGTTGTATTAATTTAAATTGTGGTTTCTTGATGTCGTATTTGTTCATGTTGTTCCTATAGCCCCATTTTGTCATAAACAAAGGAGGAGAAGAGTTAGGAAGAGGAAGTGAGAGAGAGAGAGAGAGAGAGAAGTATTATGAAAATTATCCCAAACAAAACCTTAGTCATCTATCACAAAAAATTCCTTAAAATTTCTGCACTTAGCATTGAGAAAGAAGAAGATTGCTTTTTCAATAATATGGACTGATGAGCTCACCCTCATCAACTGCACGTAAGACCGTTCTTAGTTATTTCAATTTTATTGATTCTATATGTACTTTGCTGAGCGTTCTAGAGAGGAACACCTAGATGGCAACGTCCTTGCCCTTTAACTATGAGAAAGGGTATAAACTCGATGCACAATTATACCGAGCTAATATCGAGATAATTTTTTATTGATTGTTTTAAGGTCGGATTGATATTTAGATTTAAAGCTAATATGCATGTATGAATATTGTTAGGGCGTTTACAATTCTGAGAAGGAAGCATATGAGAAATATTGCCAGTACGCGCATTCAACTGGAATTTAGTGTTCGAAAGATCATCACCATTTCTGGCCAAATACAAGGAAAATCAAATCAAAGGATTTTGTTTGTTCTAGTCAGGCTTAAGAAGGAGAATGAGAGTGGTACTAAAGTAAAATATTCGAAGATCATGTACAAGACAGGATGTCAGCCATGGTTAGATTTTCGGTGAGTCAAGATGTGTGGTTTGGTCAGTGAATAAAGCTGTAGAAAGTCACATCATGAACTGGCTCGGCCGGATGATCAACATTTTGCTCAAGGTCATCTAGGAGCATTAGTGATGATAATGCAGCTGTTTTGAAATCTATGTCAGAAGCAGGGATAAGAACTGTCCATGCAAACAATAGAAGCCGTTCCAAACGAAGTCTGATTCATTTGGAATATTGTTTTGCCTTCTTTTTTAAATCTACTTTTATAGAAAAAATTTCTTGAATGCAACTAAAGAACAGTGGCCAAAAGCTGTCCCAACAAACCTAAAACTTGCTGCTAGTTTTTAGATAGTTGCTTTAGAGATTTACTTCTTTCATTAGCCTAGGTCAAGTCAAGTAATAGGCTATAACTCAAACATAAGGTTTTTCAAACTATTGATTAGAAATTTAAAAACCTTATTTTGAATAACAATTGTTATTTATTTTCTCATTTGGGAATGATAAAAAATGCCCAAATTATAAGCATTGATGACTAGATTACGTTAATAATTTGTTAACAAATTAGGATAGAAGAGCCTCGTTAAAGTTTGCATGGACTTGTGTTTGGGCTTTGCCAAAGACCTGTTAAGTTTTACATAAACTTGTAAGTAATCAATTTTCTGGTCCAAGAATAATGTATCTTTGTAGAGAGGTCATAAGAATTTTGCAGCTATTGTTAGCAAGAAAGGACTTTGTACTTTCTTGTCCACGTCATCTAGCCGTTAGACTCTATTTGTGTATTCACCTATTATATATATTTGTCTGCTGATGAAAAATATTGAATGAAATTAAAATCCTTTTCCTTTCCCGCTAATTTCCTTCCTCTGTTCCGATTCTATCATGGCATCAGAGCTTCAACGCTCCTCTTGATCGCCCAACTCCCACCCTCTCCTCCCCATACTATGGAGACTCCAATGGCTACCACGTCCAATCACTCCTCTCATCGATCGCTCTATGCAGATGACTCAACTTCTATCATCTTCCACGCAAATCCCACAATCTCTCAAGTTCTTGAATGAGCAATGTTAAAAACGTAATTGCTCAGCCGCTCACCGCCGATAATCACCCCAATCTGCGTTCCCAAGTTCTAAAGCTATTCCGGGCAAACGGCTACACATGGTTTCTTGATGGCAGCACGCGCGGGCTCCTCCAAGCACGATTCACTAGACGGATTGGCAACGAAAAGGACCATGCTCTTAACAACACCTGGCTGTCTCTAGATCAAAAATCCTTCGCTGCAGCTCTATACTCTGTTATTTTCGCCCCAGTTATCCTCCCTATACGTTTCTGTCCATCAATGCAGCGCTGAATTTGCGCTTCGGTTCTTGACAAACGACTCAATCCAGCACGCGATCTCGGATCATTCATCTAAGCCATGAACTGCATATCTTTCAATGAAGGATAAACAATGTCCCAATATCCTCCTCGATCAATCAAGTAAAGTCGATCTGTCGCGGCTGCAAGGAGCTCCCATCGCGTTGAAACGTAATTCCACTATACTCTAGATGGGTCTTCTGACCTACCTACCAGCATTCAAGACCGCAATTCGCACCACTAGCCGTTGAGTCTTGACGATCTCTACACATTTACTATTTGCAGCTGAGGAACTTAACTCGCTCACCAAAAACGACTCACGACTCCAATCACCTCAAACTCTCCGGCAACACTACGGCTCTTGCAGCAACTCGTAGGTCGGGGACGCGGAAACATCTAATCCAGCTCGTGGCCGAACAATCCATTTTCCAGCAAGCCCAACTCCAATAATTATAGAGGCGCGGCAAGAATCCAAGATCCAACGTTACCTGGTCAAATTTGCGATAAAAATGACATTCGCAGTAAAAATGCTGGTCCGCCATTGACTGAACAATAAGACTTCCGACAACCAACCACAGGCTCTGTTCACATGTCGTCGCCCACACCTCCCCTCTGAATGGTACCCTTGATAGCGGCGCGTCCTCGCATCTTACTTCGATCCAACGAACCTTCAGAATTCTCAACCGTATACGCGATCCATGTCAGGTAATATTGGCAACGGAAGTTCATCTTCCCATTCAACAATACTGTAGGGGAATACTTCCGACGCCACAAGGTAATCTGAAAACTTTCCCATTTTAAAATCTAGTTCCCAATTTTTATAAGCTTACCTATAATAACAATTGTATCATAACCCTTTTCCTTACTGGCTAGAAAATTTAAGGACCCGAAGACCATTACCGGCCTCTTTCACGGGTCCGTGTGATTAACGGCCTCTATCCCCTCCAGCTGCTCACGCCAGAACACAAGCTACTCATCACCTCGCGCTCATCCCACTCAATCGGATTCAAGATTGTGGCATAGGAGGCTCGGACATCCTTCCTCTCTACACTTAAAATTCTTGCAAATCAACATGAACAATTTGTAATCTCTCATTTGTCTTTCTTGTACTTCTTGGTATACATGGCTAAAAGCATAGATTTACTTTAAGATTCTCAAATAAAAGTTCATGTTGTTACTCTTTTATACCACTCCGGAATGTCCTGGGTCCCGCCCCCAATTAACTCCTACTACAGTTTATAAGTCTATGCTAGCATTCATCGATGATACGAAGTATCGTACACAATGGATCTACGACCTCTCTACTAAGAAATCGAGGTCTTGAACATTGTGGAATTTTTATAGACTAATTCAATGTCAATTTAGTCGTTCTATTTGTACCCTCCGCACCGATGGCGGAGGAGAATTCATCCCACAACAGATTCAAAACAAATTCTTATCCACTCACAGTATTCCTCCATCAATGTTCACCTTGCCCTCCACCCCCGTCTCTGAATGGGGTCGCCGAGCGTAAGCATCGGCACGTTTACAGAAACTCTCCGGGCAATGCCTCAATTAAGCCATCTTCCTCTATACCTAGGGTAGAATACACTTTTAACAGCTATCTATCTCATTAAACCGTCCTCCCGTCTCCCATACGACACAAAATCTCCTCATGAACTGCATTTTACGGAACCTCCTTCATTACACTCACCTACAAGTCTTCGGTTGCCTAATCTTCCTTGGCCTCAAACCTTACACCGCACAAAAACTATCTCCTCTTCTCAACCTTGTGTTTTCATCGGCTATGCCCCGGCACAAAAAGGTTTATCGTTGCCTCGATCTTAAAAACCAAACCGTTGTCTAACATCTCTCGCATGGGGTGCTTTAACGGAAACTGCTGTTCCCTTCTGAACACAATTCCGAATCATCAAGTCCGCCTATTTTACAAACCCCACATCTAATCTACTGCCACTTCTTTGGTTCCTACCAATGCTCTAACCAAAGTTTCTATTCAGAAACTCACTTTCCACGCCACTTTCAGCTCTCAGCTGCACACAAGCACATCACACATTCTTCTCAACATCACAATTCTGTCACTCAAGTCTCTCTCCCAACTCACTACTCCTACACCACCCATAATCCCCCAGTCAAACCTA